CACAGGTTGTCGAAACGTTGGTCACTACCACCGACAACAGTCCTTCTCAGGACTACACTCACCCAGACAATCAGACTACACCTTCACATGTTACCCACGGGTTCAAGCCATTTACTGCAAGTAGGGTTTAATTAAACAACAAATTCCCAGAAGTAAAATTACAAGAAATGTATCACAGCCTGAGTGAAAACAGTGAACGCTTAGGTCTTAAAAGTAAAAATTAAAGTAAACCTTATTTCACAAATCAATAAATAGGCATCAAGTAAACAAATCCACACAAAATTACCGTCCACATTTGCTACAGTGATGTGCACGGGGTGCTTTGTAACCTTTACACAGACCACAGTACTGCAACAGTGCTTTGCCTTTGTCATCATCCTGCAAAAGGGTTCATGTATATCATTAGCAGAGCATCACAAAGATCCTTATCTACAAATTTATTAAAGACCCAAGGACTTCTTTTCATTTTTTCTACACCCGAACAACTTTTAAAAGGCTGGAAAAAAAGTGAATCCAGCTTCCTATTTGGAATTGGATGGAAAAATGGCTTGTTTGAGGCAATGATTTCTTCACAAGTAAGCAAGAAACTTTGCGTACACCAATGCAAAGTTAGTTGTCCAAGACCACTAGGTAGGAGTTTTTATAGCCCTCCTCACGCAGTTAATTCAGTTGGAAAACATTTCCAGTTCTCTAGAGGGATGGTGTTTACTCTCCATCAATCTGTCAAGTCTAGTGGCTTGTTTTTAATGCAGCAGAGGTTCCTGTCCAATACAATACATATATCTTATTAGACATTTTGTTGTGTAGTATCGCTGATTAGTTTTATGAGTTATGCAGTATTTTGACGAGCCCATAGGGCTCATGAAAATACATATAGCGAGTAAAAATACTCAGCGATACTACACAACAACACGTCTAATAAGTTATTTATTATCCGACATGCCAAACTGTTATTTCAGTGCAGGTGAATTTTGCAGATATTTATTTACGGGGAGTGCGTGAATGAAGTATGCGAAGAGGAACGGAATTGGCACATTGTTGTGTTGTTGTTTCTATTTTCTTCCTTGAATGAAGAAACTTTGTGGTAGTCAAGCTGTTTTTCTTCGTTTGATTCATCTAACGAACTTGGATCTATATTTGCCAGCCATTCTGACTCTTCATCGTCGGAAATATGATTCAAATTGTCCACCACTTTTTTTTTTCTTCGTAACTACAATCCAATTCTTCGCTTGCGCAATGCAAGAAAACCTGTTTAACCGGTACTCTACAATAGACGAGTACAAATACTGTGTGATATTTGTACTCGTCTGTGCCATTATTTGTACTCATCTAGGTGTAGTTGGATAATAAAGTAATATATTCTTTATTTAATGAAGGTGACATAATTAACGCAATGAGTTATCTAACTTACGGCCTCCATTATGGTGGCCACCTACTAGGCTGATGAAAAGATCCCCATTAAGAATAATGGAAAGATAATACACACTCTGCAGGAAAATGAATATATTATGTCAAATATCATTTTAATACTGCTCACCGGTTTCCATCCTAAAGGAAGATATCCTGGTCCAAGAGTTATTGATTTAATAAAGTAATTCATAATAAGAATCATCCATGAGATATATACTACTAAGTGCATCACGCTTGCAACTGAAGTCCAAGGAGGGTACCATAGCAGTATACAATAAAATCCACAAAGGAATAGAGTCCAAATAATTGATAACGCAAATAGTGGACCCCAATGACAAATTCCACGGTTCATTTTCCAACGAAATGAGCATCGAACTCTAATCAAAATACATCTCAAGGTCTTCCAGGTAACATTTACATCCGCACTGTTAATAAATGTGTTAATCCTTCTTGTTAAGGCTTGTTTTGTTGCTTTTTACGGACAGAATCCTCATAAATGTTCACTTTAATGCAAAACTTTGGCCAAGGCGGTCCAAAACAACAAGGCGTAATATTGCGGTATCCCATGAATCCTCTGTAGATTTGTCGTTCCCAGACTCCCCTCGATCCAGTATCCAAGATGGCGGATAGTTAATGAAGAAAAGTGTTATGAGTTAATCACGATCAAAATGGCGGGAGTTTCATCCGCAGAAGTAGCAACTCAGGTTCCGTTTTATGATGTATGTGCTCTGTTAGAAAAGATAGCAGGCACAACAGGAACTGAAAAGAAGAAGAGAATCTTGGCATCATTTGTTAAATCGTGGAGAGAAGCGCACGCTAAGTTGCATGGAACTTCGAAAACAGCTGAGTATATGTTGCATTGCTTGCTGTTAAATCTGACCTTCTTATATACCATTTGAGAATAAATTTTCTTTTGCCTGAGGGACTTTTATCTTCATATATACCTTTGATTACTACTGCGTCATGCATGTAGCATTTAACTTCTCCTTGATTATTATAACGATACATTACTCAACAAATGGATTGAGTGAAAACTTTATTTTAGCACGATAAGTAAAATCAGCATTGCTGGTGGGGTCGTGGTATGATAAGAATTAATTTACGAACATATCACCAAGCACAGTGGCTATTATGATGAAACATCTCTTATCCAGCCCTTCCCCAACTACTCCTCCCTTACCAATAATATTATTTCAGATCCTGGTTCCCCAGAGAAGGGCAATGGCATACCTAATATGGAGGGCAATGGCATACCTAATATGGAGGGTAATAGCATACCTAATATGGAGGTTGGGGGAATAGCAATCAACTCTGGCTCACCTGCAGTTAGTTTGTACAATAAATTTATTTTATTTCTTCTGTCTCAGACTGACTCATTCCACTCTGGTATGCGCCTGTTGCTTCCTCATCTTGACAAAGAACGAGGAGCTTATGGGATGAAGGAGGTTGGCATAGATGTGATTTTATTGAGTTTAATCAGCAATAAATAAAAATAATAAATTAAAATTTCTGTAGTGCAAGAATTATAGGGAGATGCTTTCTTGCACTTTACAATCTTACAATCAGCAATGATATTATAATCGTGCTTTACAATCAGCATTAATATTATAGTTTTAAAAGTTAAAATATATAACCCATAAAACTACATTAACTCCAAACTAGATAGAACTATTTGATCAAAGTTCTTAAACCTTTTGACTGTTAAGAGTTTGTACATTATCTGCACAACAAACTGCATTAGGTAATTTATTCCATAACGCTGGCACAGCCACACTAAAACTACATTCACCAACTGTGCATAGAATAGTAGCATAGGTAAACTATTGATTTTTAAAAAATATTCCTTTTTTTTTCAGTAGCTTGACAGAGACTAAGGTCTTTTTAATTATTCAAAAACTACTCTTATTAATAAAGTTTTTTCCTTTTAATCGTAGGTTGTTCTTGCAAAATATTATATTGAAATATTAAGTATTGGGAAGGACTCTGCTGATGGCCGTAAACTGCTGAATTACAGAGCACCCAAAAATGTTAAACAGGTACAATACTTACACAGAGAAATTTATTCAACAAATAAAGTCTCTTGCTTGATTACTAATACTTACTTAATTACCTGCTAATTTTAATCTACAAAATGAGTTGAACACAGTCTTCCGGAGTCTTATTTCTTCTCTGCCATGTTTTCCTTTCTCAAAGTATAATAATTATTTATGATGGTCTCTGTAGCATTAATGCAAATAAAAGGTTGGATAGGTTGTTATGATCTATCAGAGGTAACCCTCATTCTCCGGGCCCCTGAATAATTTTTCTAGTTTCCTTGAAAGTCTACTTATACCTGCCTATTCACCTGGTTATTGAGAGTGACTGTTTAAGCAAACTGTCCCATCTCTACACAAAGTACATCACATGACTTGGTACAGATCTTTTATACCTGCCTATTCACTTGGTTATCGAGAGTGACTGTTTAAGCAAACTGTCCCAGGTCTAAACAAAGTGCATGACATGACCTGGCACAGATCTCTTGACCTGCAGTCAAACCATTTGGTGGCCAGGTCTCCCTTTTACTAAGGTTAGGGCAAAGTAGATGTCTGTAGTAGATTTAAAATCAAAATATTTTAGTTACCCTTGCTTTTCTCATCATGTAGGATTCTGTGGCTGATTTTGCAAGTGTTGCTTACTTTGTTTTGAGAAATAGATGTCCTGAAAAAGGAAGGTAAATGCTTTTTATACAATTCATCTTTCAAAATCTACATAAATCTGATTTTAATTTTCCCCACTAGAGGCTGAAAATTTCCTTTTAAACTGATTAAAATAATTTTGTTTTCAAATAAGTACCCTTTCCACTTCGTAAATGTGGTTTTTCTGTTAACCTGTCAGCAGAATTTTATTCTTGGAATTTTTGCCAAATGTCATTTATTTTTTGAAAGTTACAAGTTTATAGGTATTAGTATATGACCAATAGGCTCTCTGCAAATTAAATCAAGACAATTATTATGGTGAAAAAATCAAATGGATACAATTATAGGATGATGTTTCAACTTATTGGGCAGTTTTTTCCCTTAGTCAGTAAATTACTGATTGGAGTTGAACATCTTGAAATACTCAGTTTAAAGATTGACCAAGTAAACAAGTACCTTGACCAGCTCGCCTCTGCAAATATTGATCATAAACGTGATGAAGCCAAGAAAGCTTTGCAGTTACTGCTACGTAACACAAGTGCTCTGGAACAGGTCTGTACGGTTTTTTTTATTTTGTATTAACATTTTGTGGTATCATTCACTAGATGTCTATATTCAACATTAAACATTAGATTCTGGTAGATAACAGGGGTTAATTTTCTCATACAGAAATGGTTAATCAGGATAATTTTCAAGGTAAGTTTTGCTTTATCTGCCATAAATATGTCAATTAGATGACAGGATGATAATTAACAATTATTAGATGGGGTTCAGCATGATAGTGATAACTATGAAGGCAAAAGTTTGTGTTATCTGATGAAGCTGAAGGCTGAAGCAGATAACACAAACTTAAGCCTCGATAATCATCACCGTCATGTGAAAACGGAATCCAATAATTGTTTTATTATGCATATTCCTGAGCTGCACTTGTAAAGACAAAAGAGTGCATAAAATTGTTGTCTGTAGGTATGATGTTACTTGTACGTAAATAAAATCTTTTGTCTGTAGTTATGACCTAAGAGAATGTCTAATAACAATGATTTATTGCCCTTTACACCCTAACTGTAGTACTTAGCAGATTCTCCATACTGTTCTCTTTACATATCCTTGGGTGTCAGAAGGGAGAATTTGTTCAACAATCCAGAGCATCTTAAAGAGTGTGATCATTTTCTTTATTCTCCCAATCTTTTATGTTTGATTCAGGGGTCACGTTGTAAAAAGGAATAAGGTGCTAGTCTCTCTAAGAGGTCAAAGGTAACTTAAACTATTAGAATTATTATTATTATTATTATTATTATTAATTATAATTAATAATTGATCATTATTATTAATAATTGCAATTTTATTTTACACAATCATTGCATTTGCCAGGAACTGAAGATTGGCCTCAGTGAGAACTCTGTATTTAATGTTTATCATCCAGATGCAATGGAACTGTTTGGAGTCTGTAACAGTCTACCCAAGGTTTGATGAAATAATTTATTCTAAATTCATTGGTAAATTTTACTGTTTTTGGTGGAAATTAGTGTTGCTTTTAGGTTTTCATATTGAGTTTCACAGGATTTTGTGGATTTTATTTTATCTATCAAAGCCTCGGTAAAAATAAATTTATAAGTTTTCAAACTTGCCAAAACTAAGATTGAAAACTTTCGCGAATTCTTTTCTATAAAATGCAATTAACCAATGTCCTTAAATCTCCAAGAACTTTTGAAAGGTAAATGCTTGACCCTTTCCACCCTAACATCAGAATACATATTCTCCATACTGTTCTCTACACATCTTATAAGGTCCTGACAAGGAGAATTTGTTTTAAAAATCAAAACCTTCTTTAGCTGGTGATTATTTCCCTTTTTCTCATGACCTCAATGTGTGATTTAGGGGTGACTTTTAAGGAGAAATTATGATGTACGATGCCATTCCAAACATTTTGTATCTCTAGAGGCAAAAGTTCTTTTAGTGTAGTAGAAGTTAATTTCAACTTTAAAGTATTAATTTGACCATAGTTAATTATGAAAAATTTGTTTGAAAGGTTTGTTTGGATCTTCATGATCCCAGCATTAGAATGAATGAAGCAGAGATGTCTTTGTTCTCACCATTTCGACCAATGTTAGCTGAAAGAAAACACATCAGTGAGGCTAGTAAATCTATATTTTGTTTTCTTTGCAGTAGATTATCCATAATCACATTTCATTTGAATTACAATTGTTTATGTTTGTGTGTTAGTTGCAGCTAGTAGACGTATTATTTTCTAAGGAAGGGGGTAACAATTCAAAAGGCTGAGAAACCCAAGGCGCTTTTTGTGTAAATGTAGCTCAGCAGAATTTATGATGATTTCTTTTGAGATTTTCTTCCTCATTGTGTCTATTCATAGGTGGAGAACGTAATGAACAATCAGTCATTTTATATAGAAACCAAAATAGATGGTGAGAGAATGCAGCTTCATAAAGACAAAGACAGTTTTATGTACTTCTCAAGAAGGTACTAGTGTTTAAGTTCAACAGTTACAATTATTATTTTTTCTTATCTGCAAATCCCAAGAAAAACGTTTCACAAGACACAGCATTGTTTAAGACTTACTGATAGGTCCAGGTTGAAGTCTGTACTTGGACTAACGTGCATGCATTTTGAAGCATGTTTAGGATTCTGAAACATGAGGTGATCAGGAGTTTTGCTCCTCCCTCCTCTCCCCCTCCCCCCTCCTTGGATGAGGTGTGGATGTTATCCCCATGCGTTTGAGTGTTTTCCATTACAGTTCAATAATACTGTAGCTCATTTATGTTGCAGGGTGAAACAAATAGTATTTCTATCATTTGACAAATTATACTGAATAAGGTGAAAGACATCTCATTTCCATGTTAACA